TATGATAGTATGTATCGCCCAGTGTGCCAGGTCCCGTATCACCTTCAATATCCGTTCTTATTAATAAACATTGTTACTGTTACATAAGTACTAGTATGCCACCATTACCCAGCACAGAGCCCCTACCACACATGGTCACGTTGCACGCCAGCGAGATGAGGGTCAGAACGCACGCAAAAAAAATCTGGCGGTAGTGCTAGATTTTTAGCACCGGTGCTAATTTTTTCGTCTGTATAGGCCCAGCTAATTTTTTAGCTGTACACCTAAAAGGAGCTAGCTGGAAGACATTAGCTAGATTTACAACAGTCCGTTTGCACCAGTGCTATTTCAAATTTCAAAATTGCTATTTTTTTCCCTATTTAAATACTCCATATTTGTGCCCCACGATATTCGATTATTCGCTGTAAGTCAGAGTCGTGCTGTCTTGTGGCCGGAGTGAGGCTTCTGCCTTTGTGGAATAATAAAAATTAAATTGGGAGACATCAGACAGCCAAGATCAGGGGTCGCAAACTCGAGCTATCCGCCAAGCCGCGCCTGCATAGGCCACACGCTCTACGAGCTCTTCGGCAAGAGAGTGAGAGAGACAGAGCCAGTGGTGTCGTCCGCCGGCCTGTGTGTCTGTCTTTGTCACTCCTAATGGCTCTCAGTGAGTGAGACAAAGACAGACAACCCGAGCGTGGCTCTCGGGAACCTCGGCTCCAGCCGAACGCAAGAGGTGCGCGGCTCTCGGCGAGCCGCGCTACCGGGCTAGGCGAGCCGCGCCTGGCTCGGGAGCCACAGCAAACATTTTTCCGGGAACTTCCCGGTTGGATTCGGGAAGTACATTTTCCGGCTGCTCCAAATGTTATAACATGCATAGATATGACGAAAAATAGCATCCGGAAACTTACTTCCCGGATTAAACCGGGAACTTCCCCGAAATATAATTGCTGTGGCCGCGAGTTTGCGACCCCTGGCCAAGATGGACGTCCGTCTTCCGTTCCGAGTGCTGGACGGACTAACGTCTGTCGGCCCGAAATTTATCTTGAAAAGGGAGCGAAAAACTCCAAACACCCAAAGCAATTGACACCCGTAGCAACCATCGAGATATAACGGAGAACTTTAGTCGGTGGTGCCATCTAGCGGAGACCTATGAACTTCTAAATCCAGAGGCGAGAACAGTGTTTCTTGGTGCAGCTTGCACATTTAGCAGTACAGCAAATTGATTCAGCTGGGCATGACACTTCTCGATGGATATGGACGAAGATACAGACCAGATCGTTTTTGCGACAGCTAATTGAGGTCTAGACGGGTCTAGATCTATAGCTAAACCGACAATCGTGCCCAGCTGAGCCCGTTAACTAGCCAGCAAGTATTATTAGCACCGGTGCTAATATGGGCCCGCTAATGACGTTTAGCACCAATCTGATTTTTATTTTTTTCCGTGCGTCGCGTCTGAGGAATGTGAAGCAGCGACCCTACAACAAAACGGAGTTAGTAGTTATCT